ATGTGATAGACTAGGTATGAAGAAAACAAGAACTACGGCTTATCATCCGCAATCGGATGGTATGGTAGAACGAATGAATAGAACAGTTGGCAAGTATTTGACAAAGATGGTGTCCGATCATCAGCGAGACTGGGACCAATATCTCCCGTTCTTCACAATGGCCTACAGATCTGCTGTTAATGAATCAACAGGCCAGACACCAGCCAAAGTCCTATTCGGACGCGAGATGCGACTACCTTGTGATCTAGAGTTTGGGTGTCGACCTGGAGAAGATGTAGCAGGTGAAGATTATGTGATCGAATTACGAAGAAGAATGGACGATGTACACGAGTTGGTCCGTTCCCATCTCCAGATCGCTAGTGATCGAATGAAGAAACGGTACGATACGCAAGCCGAAAAGGGGTGTTTTAAGAAGAACGATAAAGTCTGGCTTTATAACCCCAAAAAGCGAAAAGGTTGTTCTCCCAAATTGCAGCAGTTTTGGGAAGGTCCATACCTCATTATGGAGAAGATCAATGATGTTATTTACCGAATAAGCAAGATTCCGAGAGGAAAGCCGATGATAGTACACCATAACCGGCTGGCGTCTTTCGAGGGTGACCACGACGTAGATGAAGAAGTGGAAGTAAACCAAGTCCAAGATGTGTCTGACCTCACGTTTGAGGAATTCATGGGTGCCTATGGAGGTACCGGTAAAGCAAGACATGGTGTTACCACTGAAGAAAGGCAAGATCTACTCGCGCTTCCCGATGACTACTCACTGGCCCTTACCATCCCGGCCAGTATCAAAGATGCACCAGGGTTGGCATCCGTCTTTCGAAGGAAGTTTGGTCGAGTTGCAGAACTTCAATGCCAAGTGCCAGCTCCTGGTAAAACCTTGAAACTTCAAGATGCATCACGTTACCTTTTCTACCTGGTAACAAAAGACACTGCCCGTGACCAACCTACCTACCGAGATGTATGGGAAGCCTTACTTCAGTTGAGAGAGCACGTACTAGAGTCCGACGTGCAAAAGTTAGCCATGCCAAAGTTGGAGTGCCGCCAATTAGATTGGAGGGTTATACGAAACATGGTGGAGGAAATCTTTAAAGACACCGAAGTCCAGGTGTTAGTCTGTTGCAATCCGCATAGTTACTGCTGCGGAGAGAAAACCGTCCCTTGTCATTTCTATACAACTGGAAGTTGTAAAAGAGGGTCCAGTTGCCGATATCAGCATGTCGTTCCAGTTCCAGTTCCGACAAGGTTCCAGGAGGAACCATCTTTTAAGAGGGGGGCAATGTTACGATTTTAAATGTTATGGCATATAGAACTGTAAATATTTTATGACTAATTCTTTTTTATTGATTCTCGTAATTTGTAGGTCAAAATATACCTGAGCTTAGCTACCAGTTGTTTACCAGAAATCTCTAGACACTAATTTTGGTGAGTCATCCACGTCTCGAGGTTGAAAAACGAGTCGAGCGCCTTCACCAAAATACGAGACTATTCAAGAAGTCCGCCGAATTCTCTAGATGACACAGTTGTGTATATAAATGAAAGATTTTTATTTGGCAGTCAGTCATAAGAAGATCGGTAAACGCGGTTTACTTGTACGAAACGTGAAATAAATACATTTGTAAAAGTTATTTAATAAATTAGTAATTAGCTATCGTGAGTTTTAATAAATTAGATTATAGACAATAAATTAGAATAAAGACAAATAAATTAGAACTATATAAACTCAACAATAACATAAAACACACTTTTTATTTTCATAGATTATAGTGAACTTAACAGCTTTCGCTGAAACATCAGCTAACTCGGGAAAATTATATACAATTAAATATTAATCATATTGTTTTGTGACTAATTTTCATTGTTGTTTTGTTCAGTAAGTATATCAGCACTTCAGAGGTAATGTTTGTTACATTTTTAGAAGAAATGAGTTAAATCTACTTGTAGATTCACAGAAAAACAGTGTACAGGTTACTTACAAACAGGTAGCTAATTTTTATCTTCATTTGTTTAACAGATATATTTCGGTTTTCTATTTTAAGTATCTGGTAAATGTCGTTAAAAAATAACAAGTTTTTAATTAAAAAATAAAAAAATAACACATTTTCATTCAAAAATAGTCGTTAAAAATGTTTAAAATATCATTTTGCGACTGTTTACAATGGTACTTTCGAACTTTTCGATGACTTTTTTTAGACATAATCAAACATATTTTTTATGTCAGTGTAATTTCTGAGGCCCAAAAGAATGTCAGTTATTTCATAATAATATACAATAACAAGCTATCCCAGTAAACGTTGTTTTGCCATATAAATTATTTCTCCTGAATATTTTGGTTGCTAAATAGAAAATATTTAACTTATTTTATATGGGGGTGGAGATGTGTAATGTATGACTGAAAGAGAAATTGCACCAACCATTAGTTGTTGATTATTTTCCGCATTATTCTGAAATATTTCTGTTACTTCGAAATGATGTCATTTGAAACCATGAATTGAATGTACCAATGGACTTAAGGAACAGGTAATAATCTGGATCCGTACCGATAAAAAGCCGTTCATTGGTTCAGGTGGCGTTTCAATTTCTGGTACAAGCATGACGATGGGAACAGTTTTTGTCCATAGTCACTTTCAAATGAGCTTAATATTCAATATCTCTTTTAGAACGGATTTCTTTAGAAAGAAATCCGTTGATGACAGTATATTTCTAATATACAGTTCGATCAAACAACACTGGGTTTCTTTATCACCAAACAAATTTTGATGAACTGAACAGAAATCGCCATAATATACAATGCTCTTCAAGTTTAATCAAACAATACTGGATTTCTTTATTACAAAACAAATTTTGTTGGACTTTTGATGGACTGAACAGAAATCGCCGTAATCTTATGGCATCTTAAGATATGTCAAATTGATGTAAAAAAATATAAATATCTACAGAACCTTTTAAAATGTGTACCTGAAGTTTTTCATCTATTTTACGAATATTCAGAATCTGTAAGGGTAGAAAATATTGACGATTAAAATCTGTATAAAAAGTTCTGTAAAAAGCTGTGTAAAAGATGTATAAAAAGTGAAAGAATCGGCTGGTATCTTCAATAAGAAACAAACTGCATTGCTACAGGATGAATATGGTAAAGTAATATTTGAAGTAGAGGACAAACTTAAAGAATGGGAAAATTACGTTACGAAGCTATTCGAAAACGATAAGAGTAGTTCAACTTCCGATATTACTAACTGCGACGGACCCCTAATAACACGATCTGAGGTTATAAAAGCCATGCAATCATCAAAAGATGGCAGAGCGACTGGTCCTGATGAAATTCCAACTAAAATATCATCATCATCATCTTTGGCTCGACAATCCTCTGTGGATCTTGGCCTGCTCTAAGATTCGTCGCCATTCTGTTCGGTTTTTGGCAACATGTTGCCATCTTCTGATATTTAATATTCGTAAGTCGGTTTCTACTCCATCTAACCACCTAATTCGCGGTCGGCCTTTACTTCTTTTTCCTACAGGTGTTCCTGTGGTTAGCTTTTTAGCAATTGTATTTTCTGGCATTCGTATTATGTGTCCAGCCCATCTAAGTCGCTGTGTTTTAATGAACGTTATGACATCTGGCTCATCGAAGAGCTGATACAATTCAAAATTATATCTTCTGCGCCACTGCCCTTGGTCGTTTACAGCTCCAAATATTTTGCGGAGTATTTTACGCTCAAATATTCCCAAAAGTCTTTCATCTTTCTGCGTAAAAAATATTAAAAGAAGAGTACGGCAAGGATGTCTTTTGTCACCCCTGCTTTTCAAAGTTTACTCCGAAAGATTTTTCAGAAAAGCACTTTCTGAAAAACAAGAAGGAATACTTGTGAATATTGTGTGTCATCAATAATTTGCGATATGTGGACGATATAGTACTCCTAGCTTCTGGTCAATAAAATCTGCGATCATTACTTGATAGTGTCGTTGAGGGTTGTAGGGAGGCAGGTCTGGATCTGAACATACGGAAAATCAAAATACTCGTAATAAGTAAATACCTGCATATAAAACCGTTTATATATCTAAATAATACCAAACTTGGGCAAGTTGATAAAATCCTTTACCTTGGACAGTAATTAAATTGTAGCGCGGAAAGTCACGGCGAAATTAGATCTAGGATAGAGCAGGCTAGAGCTGCTTTTAGAAGTATGTCCAAGGTGTTATATAACAGAGACCTAAAATTAGCATTGAGGATCCGCCTACTTCGCTGCTACGTGTTCTCGGTCTTACTTTATGGTGTCGAGTCCTGGACTTTGAAGAAAATCGATCTAAATCGCCTTGATGCTTTCGAAATGTGGTGCTATAGAAGAATTTTAAAAGTTTCCTGGGTGGAGAAGATTCGAAACTCCACAATACTAGAACGTCTCAGCAAGAGAGGTCCCAAATATAAGTTGCTACAAAATATCATCTAAGGAAAAATAGCAGGCAAACGCAGTCCAGGACGAAGAAGAACCTTATGGTTGAAGAACTTGCGAGATTGGTATGGTAATTAAACGTGTGCTTTTCTTATTCTGACTTTCTGCGTTTTCATTTTTCAAAAAGAAATAAGTTGATTACCTATTTCTTTGTTTTTAAGAATATTTAGAAAATAAAATACTGATTTTATCAAAAAAATTGTTTTATTTGTAAACAATCTTAGTGGAATCCTGTGGTAAGTGATGAACAAATAACTGAAAATTTTGGGTTAGTAATGTTAAGTCACGTCAAACTAAAAATTTGGAGGAAAGTCAAAAAAATCTAAAAGATAATATCCCAATATTTAGCCAATTCACGGTTTCTTTGGAAGTTTGTAAACAGTTTCTGAATTATGAAGTAGCTCGTCCATCAAATTTAAATTTGGAGACTTTACACACTGAGGTGCTGATTATGTCCTATCGTTTGCTTAGTTATATGTTTAAATATGTTGTGAAAATAGATGTAGCTTTTTTTCTTTAAAAATATTTGTGTAATAATTTTATGATTTTTAGCTTTATTGTCGAAAATTCTCAATCTAAGAGTTCCTAATCCTCCAAAAGAAGTTATTGCTGATCATCCATTTATAATTATGCTGAAACACGATAATGTAAACTCTGGTAACAACATGCTTTGTGTTGGAAAAGTAGAAAATCCGACAATTTAAATAGATTAGTAGATTTAAATAGATCATTATTATTACATATTCTTAACTTGAATTTTATATATCATTTTTATCACAATTTTTATTGTACACACCACTGTAATTTTTACAGTAGTGTTTTTTCTATTACCCGACTTGTATGTTTTGCTACCAAATTTGATTTTGCCAGTTATTCTGGCTATTTTAGTAATTGTTTTAAGTCGCTATTTAATTATTAGTATCAGCGTAATTGTGTTTATATTACTTATTCTTGACTTTACTTTAATATTACTCTAATAACTACATGAACAATATATATTATACATAATTATCTAAAAAAGTTATATTTTACTTCTAATAAATGATTTTATTCTCCATACTTTGTATTGAATTAAATTGTTTAATGTTAACAAACATATTTACTATGTTATTAAATGTTCCGCGGTTATAAATAATATTGATTTGCTTAACGTGCACAAGGATATCAAAAAAGTTTTATTTAAAAAGCTTAGGATAGGTTTCTGGATCTGGTACCTTCCGGTTAGAGTTAAAGATGGCGCCATTTTTAACCAGTCCGGCCCTATGAAAATTGGTTTAGGAGGATTACCAGTTAAAACGAACTTTTTAAGAAAATATTTTGACAGTCATGCCACTTCGGATTATACCGGAAATAAACAACAATTTTGTTATTTTAAATGAAACACCCTCTTTGTTACTACATTTTTCAATTCTCTGTATAAGTCTGGATATATGATACCATAAGGACAAAACATATTTTGCAAAAATGTGAAAGAACGTGTAGTACGGGTAGGAGTTCTGAGATTAGATCGCTTTGGTATGGTTAGATATTTACCTCCAGTGAAGACTTTGACTTTTTTTCTGCAGGGCTTTAATATTTATGGGATTTGAAGGGTAAGTTTACGTAGACAACAACGAATTAGATTTCGTCGTCTACCATTCCTGGGAGGTTTAGGAATAATGTGCCTTGACTGAAAAATTTGCAGTGAAGGTGATTTTTTGTGTATTTTGTGTCGTGCGGGTGGGTTTTGTCGTGTGAATACAAGCTAAACTCGAATAGGCCATCGTAGTCTCCTCACAGGTAGGCACAGAAAGAGACAAGAAATACTACTAAGAAATAATATTAGCAACATAGGTACAGAAGACAAACTGGAAACAGAACAATGGAAAAGCCACCGGTCCAGATAATATCTATGTCGAAATACTTAAATTAATTGTAGACAACGAAAGTAAAATCCTTGACTTGATAACAACACTATTCAATAATATATATGACAGATAAAATAACATCGTTAGCCATACTGGCTAAAATCAACATTCGTAATTCGTTATTCGAATATAGCATAGCAATAATATCGAATATTAAGTACGATGTTTCATGTTCTTAAACCTTTTCTCAGAATTATATATACACGAATTTACAATAAGTGTGAGTTTCAGAAGAGTGACACTTATTTCCGATTTCAAAATGGATTGGAAACACGACAAGCTCTTTTTGCCATAAATGTGTTAACACAACGATGGAGATACATCAATGTACTCTACTATTCAAGTTGCCCTTAATAAAAAATGGGCGTTAAATTTTTGAGGACGTAACTTTTTGAAGACGTTAAGTTCGGTAAACAACATTTCTGTGCTGGTTTTTCCGCGCCCAATACTCCGTAATGAAAGGATTGTGTCTCCCTACTACCTAAACAGAAGATTCATCAGTAAATAAAATGTTAATAAAATTGGGTTTAAAAAAACTCCATTCTTCGAAAGTAGTCGGCTGGACAAAGCTACTGCGTTTTCGAATACTTAAAATTCCTATAACCGTGCTTTATTCATACTTTCGTGTGCTTTCGTTACAGTAACATTGCTAACATCTAACTCTCTAACAACATTTCTACTTAAACGTTTTGAACGTATTCTCTTTCCTCAACTTTTCCTGGTGACCCTTCTTAACCGTGAAATTTTCTGGAATTTTTGAGGCAATAAAAACTCTTAAAATCAATAACTAGTGTGAACTGACTGTACGCATGTAATTGGTCTTTCTCCCAAAAACCATTATATTATTTGGACCTTTTCTGCGGGCATATAAACCTTAGAGTAGGAAACTTTAGTCGTCAAAATGAGCCTAAATACATATAACATATTTCAAAATGTTGACGAGTAAAATTCCCTACTTGAAGGTATAAACAGACATGTTGTTTACAAAAATAAATTAAAAATCTGCGTTCTTATTGCTTTAAACAACCACTGTATTGTATAATGACAAACTAGTGGCGACGGGACAACGGAGGTTCGTCGAAAGTCGACGTTGTGCAATGTGTTGCCATTCACTTAATATACATAGTACTGGACGTACTGTGTATATATATATATATATTATATATATATATATATGTTGAAATGATTTCAATATGTCAAAGAGGATATAACTTAAAGGGATTTTTATATGAGTTTGTTGTTCATGAATTTCATGAAGCCATCACAATGTGGGGTCGACTCTGAAATAAAAGGGAGAAAAGATTAGTAAATTGCTAAATAAATTAATTTTGACTTACCTGGTATAGTGTTAATAATTTCTGAATAGTATAGTTGCCTAGTGTATAGGTGAATCGTCTAAACCTTAAAAGGAATAAAAAAGAAGAATTCTTAAAAAATTATTTAAACATAGAAATTTTAAAAATAAACGTCAGAAAAATAAACTGTCAAAAGTCTGTGGGAACTAAATTAATAGGGGTTTTGTTAAATAAATTACAATGATGTGGAGATGAAAAGAATAAATTATATTAGTATTGTTAAGTTTTATATCTGAATTTTTTTTTATAAATTCCCAAATTAGATGTGATTAAAGTGCTTATGAGAAATTAATGTGGTTTGACAAATATGTCAAAACAGGACAGTTTTATGGTTGAATAAAATAGAAGACGGAATGAAAAAAGAAAGTGGGTTGCTGTTAGCAACGAATAATTTTGGTGGTGTGCTAGCTATGGCGGTTAACAAGGAAGAATAGGTTGTTGGAGGCGACGAAAATTTTGGAGGAAGAGCCCTAAAAAGGTGGAATAGTCCGGGAGTGCTTTAAAATCGTTTAATTATAATTTAGTTTTTCCACATTTTCAAATAGAGATATCCAGAATTTGTTCCAGAGAGTAAGAGAAATTTTGACTTATAAATTATAATTGGAGTGCAGAAATGTCATTTAGATTGAAAAAGTAAAAATTCATGAATTAACTAATTGCGATAGGCCTTAAAAATTGAAATATTAATGATCATTAAAATAAAAATATAATAGTACGTACCTTTAACTTCCGAAGAGAGGATAGATATTCCAGTTTCACCGATTATTTTGCGAGTAGTTAGTTTTCTTTAAAAAAAAAAAAAAAAATCAGAACTGTTTGAAAGTGAAGTTGGATAATAATTTTGGGGATCATTTGAAATTTTGATTATATTTTAATGCTAGTTATAAGTCAGCGGCATAAAGTGTTCAGTTTTCTTTTCTTTATATTTCATTTAAACACTTTATAAAGTTGCAATAGTCATTTAGATTTAAGGTAATTGTAGAGAGTTTCCACATTTTGTAATCAAATTCTATTTTCACGACACATTAAGGTTTACACGATTCCTATTTTTGTAAATTTTTAAAGGCAACCCAAGTTGCAGACTAATTTTATTGTTTATATTAAATTTGTTCAATATTAATAAATAACGTGCTTCATTTGGGTTAATTTATCAAAAATATAAAGTAAATTTTGGTTTAATTTCTTTTTGAACTCTACCAGGAGACTACAGAGTTGACGTCACACAGTGACAGATTGCTTAGAACAAATAATTGAGCTAGCCGAGGTATAGTATATTAACAACGAACTACATACTTTTAAAATTCACTTCAATTCAATTAAAATTATATTTATTAACAATAAAACATAAAAATAATAAAAACAAAACTATTACAATTGGCGCTAACAACGTGGAGCCTCTGGGAAAACAGAAATAAGGGTGTAATTTTTAAGCAGATTTATTAATAATACACAGATTAAAATAAAAACAAATTGGTGTGATTAGAGTTGTAGAGATTCTGGGGTAGTTAAAGTTAAATTTGAGAATAAATAGAGATTAGGATAAAATGGCAGACCGAATGACTTTAAGAAATGGAAAAGAAATCGTACCGAAAAAGAGTGAAGGAGAACAGGTGTTAGAACAGGAACAGGGTATACAGGTAGATGAAGAAAGCAGAGGAGGATCAGGAGAATTTGTAGTACAATATTTAGAGCAAGGCAGACAAGAAGCAGGACAAGGTGATAGAGAGGGAAGTCTAACAGATAGTTTGAGAGAGGAGTTGGATGAGACAGTGAGAGATAGACGTGATGAAAGTGTGGATGAATGTAGAGTGCAGGAGGAGAGACGTAGGGAAGGAGATGTTGGAGAGTCAGGGATGACACAGATGGATATGAGGCAAATAATGCGGATGTTACAACAGATGGATCATAATATTAGGGGAGATATGCACAAAATGGATAGTAATATTAACAATATTAGGGGGGATATGAACAAAATGGAAAATAATATTAAAGGAGAACTTAGGGAAGAGTTAATTAAAATGAGGGAAGAAATCAAAGAAGAAGTGAAGATAGTCAGGGAAGAGATGCTACAAATTACCCAAGGTTTAGAAGAGAAAGTAGAACAGGTCAGAGGAGAAAGTGAGAATTTTAAGAGGAATGTACAGGAGGAGATATCCAGAGAAAAGGCCATAATTAGAGCGGAAATAGGACAGGAAATTGGGAGCAGATTTGTAGAGTTGGGAACAGCCATTAAAGAGAATTTACCAATGGAAATAAACAAAGAAGTTAATAAGCAGAATAAAGAGATTGTTAGGGAGGTAGAAAGTGTTAAAAGGCAAACTCAGGATTATGAGGAAAAAATTACCATTATAAAAAATAATATAAAGAAGGGATTGCAGAATTTGGAACTGGAAATGGGTATGCATGCAAATCAGGCGGAAAAGGGAGATAGAGTATTACAGGGACAAGTTGAGGAATTGAGAGAGAAATTTAAAAATGCAAGTGAGGAGATTCAGCGTTTGGAATCAAATCTAGGACAAACAAGAGTAGTGAGTACTGTGGTGCCGAGTTATAATGATGGGGGAATAAAGTTTGATGGAAACCTGAATCACTTACATCCTAGAATATTTGTAGATATCATCAAAAATAAGGTAAAGAATGTAAGGGATCCAATAGAAATGAAATTGAATATTCGAAACATGTTAGTGGGCATGCCATTATTATGGTTTTGCAATAATGAAAATTCCATAAATAATGTGCAGGAATTTGAGGCCAAGTTTATTAACTATTTTTGGGGAGAAAACCAACAGGCTA